CGTATTTCTATACGAAGAAGTATCGATTAAACAAATAAAACTGTCGAAAGAAAATTGTTGTATGAAGAATATTATGGGTGGCTTTAAGAGGTTCGCGAGGAGAATTGTTGAATCAAATGTCGTGCTGAGGCGGAAGAGAAGAGATTGCTTCTGAATCGGTTTAATTAAAAGCACGAGTGTTGAATTGATTGGTGATTGGCATTCGGAGAAATTCTCTCATCTCATAATTGCGTGTGAGTCATGTTTATTTCTGAAGCTTATTCTTGAGGGTAAAAGTGGATTTTCTAAAATGGATTTTTCACGTTAATCTATTATGGAATGAGAGAGAAATTTGGGAATGTTTTCAAGTGGCCTTTCGAGGGAATATTTATGTGCGATGTCTCGAGGAGAAAATATTTCAAGTATTTCTGTCTTTTTTTTTTGTTCGGCGACATGCAGAAAGCGATATGTTTTGAGGGAGCGTTTCGAGGGTAAAAGATGGATCGCTGTGAGATTGTAAAGTGTGTGTGTTTTGGATGTCAAGTTCAGTGTTGAGCCAGTTGTGTCGTAAGTTTTGTGAGCAGGTGAATTTCTCATGACAGCGAAAATTCATATATAAAGTCTGTGGGATATTTGACACCAGATCGTCAGAAGAGTGAGCGAGAGATGTGAAAAATGGTGTAAAGTGGGTTTCTTTTTTGTGAATGAACTTCGAATGTCGATTGTGTGGGAATTCAATGTACGCAAGATTTGTGGGTCATGCTTTTCACTTTCTTCTCCACACAGACAATCTCAGTCAGTGATTTAAATCAAATTAAGACCACCTCGGTGGAAAGTGTGGATGAAAATGAGAAGTCTGGTGGCCTGCACACTGCATAATGCTTGAAGGTTTCAGAGCGCAAATTAGCATAATAATTTGTTAAAAAATAAAAAAAAAGTTGCTCACTTTCAGGATCAACCGAGGACTTTCAATTGCATTCTCTTTTGGGTGTGAATTGGAGGCACTTGACCCTGAGAACTACACAGTGTCAATTGATTCAAATAGTAACGTTGAGTTTAATTCAATTTAATAAATTAACCTTATTATCCCTTGCGCGGCTCAATTTGCTTGTGGCGGCGAGAAGGAACTCTGCATTTTCCAAATAACGCACTCACTAATGATCATAAGTGTCTTTATTGAAGCATTTTGTGGGGTTCTTGAGGGGGAAACTCGTGAACATCACTCTTGGTGCATTCTCATGAGCGGGAGAGCATTCAATTGGATCAACCCGGCTGGCAAGGAGATGTGTTGGGATATGCGAAGGAATGCATAAAATAGTGGAGTGAATTTAGTGTATCTCGAGGTATTATTAAAATTGTTTGCTCATTAGTCCATGAGAAAATTGTAGGACAGTCCGACGAATGTCTTATAGAACACAGTAGGAAATAATATTGTCCATTCTAAAGCTTAAGATTACTGTATTTTCCTTTTTTGAAACGTTTATGCGATTTAGTCTAGTGGATTTCTTATAGATCGTTCTTTGACATTCATGTGACTGTCATAAGCGTTGTCCAATGAATATTTCTTTTCTTTCTGTAATAAACAACTACTTAGACGTTATTAAGCAATTTCTTCTCTCTTGGTTTGCTGGGTTGTCGCTTGTTTTCGGCTCAGCGACAAATTTGAATATTGTTATTATAGATTTACATGGAAATTATTTTTCTGCTCTTTATTTGCTGCTACACAATATTGATCATCTTTTATGGGTCTGTGATTTTAGCTTTGTGGTTTCACCTTCTCATTCCCCAATGTGCATGTCATATCTGGGCAAATGTCGGGGAGCGCATGTAAAATTCCCGGTGGTTTTCCAAATCAGTCCAGCATGTAGAATGATTTTTTTTTAGGTTGCAAGTTGCTCCCTAACATCATGATAATAAGCAATTGTGATGTAACGTAATACCCATTGTTTGATATTTTCTACCCAATTCCATTCACTTGGCGAGTTGTGTGTTCTTTATTATATGAGAGCTGCTAAATAAGACTCCTCCTAGAAGTTTGCTTTTGTGCTCTGTTGAGGCGCATATTTGTTGACTTAAAATGCTTTTTGCGTCGCTGTTTAGGCTTTTTTTCCTCTCTATATTATTGTTGGTTCGATCAGTGCTGAGGGATATTCATGTGAGTCTCGACAATATATTACAAATTACTGTTCATTTGCGATGTGATTTGACTTTTTTCCTGGCCCATTCGTATCGCATTTTGACATTCTTCAATGTGAGTCGAAGAGTTTTTGAGCAAAGACATAACAAATATGGAAAGTTGATGGCAAAATGCCGCGATTGATAATGGAAATCAGTCATTCTGCTGAACATGCGAAAGATGAGCAGTGAATGTAATTAGAAACCACGAGAGATTGCACATATTTTATTTCGCCACTGTTGTTAATTCTAATGCATTTCTTTTGCCAACTGTCTTCGGGTGAATTTATTAATAATGTTTGCGTCTTCATTAGCAGCATCTCTATGGCTGGTGGGAAAAAAGAGCTCAATTTACTGGAAATGGCAAATGATGTGCTCGCAGTTTCTTTTCCCTTTCTAACGCTCTCCGGGACTTTTTTTCTGCAACTTCTTCGTCAAGTGTCCACAGAGAGTGACGAGCTGAGTGCTTTGGTGGGGAAGTGAATTGCCGTGCTTGAGGTCAGAGACATCGCGGCTGGATCAGGCTGTTTGCCTCAAGTCAATGAAGTTGAGCTCTACTTTTCTTTCACATGACTCGAAAATGTTTATTTTTCTTTCACACTCTTCTATAAATATTGGTGTATTTTTTCACTCTATTAATTATTTCTCTTAATTTACGATGACAGCGAAATTTTTGTTCAACACTCCAAAACTTCACATATGAGCAATAAAATTGTTGATTTAAGTTGATAATAGAGACTTTGTGTCTATGGGAAAAAGTCCATTGAATTTGGTGGGATGTTGACGTGTTATGGATGATCCTTGAAATTTAAAGCGATAAGACAGTCACGAAGAGTGATATTTTTTGTCCTCCGAAGATCCGTTGGGTTTTGAGAAAATTGCTGATGTGTTTACAAGCACAGTGATTCATGAACAGAGAGAATGATGAGGGAACGTTGGAATTTTTGTCCAATTCACGTCTAAATGGCGGAGCAAATAAATTATAAAATTATTATTATTTGTGTTGACTGGAAGTCTCAAGAGAATAATAATAATAACCATAAAAAAAACACGCTAGAATTGAGCTTAAGGTACAATTTTTTCCTCATTTGTTCTTTGTCGACAAAGAGATGTGAAGAGAAGACTGGAAAATACATAAAGATTATAGACACGAATTTTGTTGTGGGTGATGAATGTCAAGAATGCCTATTTGTTTTAATTGTTCTGTAAGTATTACGATGTCTTCAGATGGTGATTAGAGCATTTTTCCATCACTCTTGTTCTGCGACGTGAATACAAAGTGAAGAAAAAAAAAGTTGTCTTGAAATTTTATCAGGTATCTTTGAAGAAATACTCGATGAGTGAGAGAAATTCCTCTTCAAAGCACGTTAGTGATATTTTTTTCTGATTGTTTACTTGTGTTGGCATAAATAATGAGACATTTGTAATGTCGGTGAGAGGCTCTCTATCATGGATTCTCATTGGAAATTAATTGAGAGTATGCATTTCATTACGACGAGATGTAGAGAGAAGTTGCGGCATTGCAAGAGGAAGAGAGAAGCGAAATTGCTCTAGAAATTAAAAATAGAAAGTCTTTTCATTCTAGCGATCGTGATCGCGACGTAGTAGAAGTTGAGGTGAAATGAATGGATGAATGAACGATAATCTTGATCGGTCAAGACGGTGTTTGGTCAGTTTTTTGCAGCTTCTCTCGTCGCATCGCCTCTCGTGCATGATCATATTTGTAGTCCAAATAGAGATGCTGTGGACGCTTCATTTTTTCCTATTTTGGTCTATTAAATTCAGACTGGTGAGCATAAGTAATGTGACGAGAATATGGAATATAAATATTTAGATTTCATTGCATATTTGGTGGGTTAAATGTAACAATTAACTCGAGTGGGCGGGGCATTTGGAGGGGCGGAGTTTACTTTCATTAGAGCATGTCGACTGGCTTCCTGACTTCCTTTAATTACTTCTTTGGCATGGAATTTGTCATGCCATATTCAATTGTCTTCAATTGTCAATGAAAATGAGTCAATGGGGATGAAGAATCGATTGTGAGTGTATCTAGATTTGTGACACTGACTGTGCATTTTGCGAGAAAAGAGGAAAATTGTAGAGTGACGCCGTTATAATGGTGACCGGAAAGGTGTGTTCGCATATATTTTAATAATATCCATGTCTCAATCTCCTCTTTTTACTACGTTTGGTCGTACGGAGAAATTTCACTCGATCGGATGCAATCTGAAATGGTAGCTGGTCGAGAAGGGATTGATTGGAACAGGTGTGGATTAGAGAAATGCCACAAAGAGGAATTATAATAATAGATGGTGTTGTTGTGATTGGCGCTGCACTTGAGACACTTTTCGTGCGACATTTGCCTCAATGGCGTGTTTTGATCTTGTGATCTTTCTTCTCCATTCGCATAAAGTTTCGTGCATAGCTAAAAGTCCACATGGTTTAGTCATTATGGCAATGACCTTCCCTGGTAATTGTGCGATGAATGGAGAAGAGAAATGGGAAATATTTTGTGGTTTTTTGTACAAAGACACCTTCCTTGTTAACCATGATTGTTCTTTGTCTCACTTCTTGGCGTTGCTTGCGAGCATTTCACGCTGCCGGAGAAATTCAAGAAGGCATGCATATATGATATTTTTTTCCTTGCCAGAGTCACATGAAGAGGGGAACAAACTGTCGGCAAAACAATGAGGCGCGATGGTTGTGTTTGAATGAAGTGCTTTGAGAAAGAAAGAAAATTGCAATGCAGATTTATCTGAAGACAAATCGTTTTATAGACTCTTAACTGATTTATTTATCTCTTATTATGTGATAATTAATGTGGGGCGTTTTCTCTGCATTTGCAGTCGTTGTCGCAGCCGTTGAGGAATCCTTTCGATGAAAATGACTGCTAATGAGAAACGCCTGTTGGACCGCGAAGCCCTGCGCTCCGTTATTCAGCAGTGGAACGCCAATCGGCTGGATCTGTTTGAGCTGTCGGAGCCGGACGAGAACCTCCAGTTCCATGGGGTGATGCGGTTCTACTTCCAAGATGCCGGCCAGAAAGTGGCCACAAAGTGCATTCGAGTGGCTTCTGATGCCACAGTTCAGGATGTCATTGAGACGCTGATCGAGAAGTTTCGTCCGGACATGCGGATGCTCTCACTGCCCAATTATGCTCTGTACGAAGTGCACTCGAATCACGAGGAGCGGAAGCTGAATGGGGATGAGAAGCCGCTGTTGGTGCAGCTAAATTGGCACATTGACGATCGCGAGGGGAGATTTTTGTTGAGGAACACCGATCAGAAGACAAATGTGAGAATCTATTTTTACTTCTTTCAATTACACGTGAAATTAAGTGCTGAAAATTGACTGTTTTTTGTTTCTTTGTTTGCAGACTCTCGAGAGTGGCGACAACAATTTCAAGAGGAAATTGTCCAAGCGCGAGAAGAAGGAGCAGAAGAAGAAGGAGAAGCTGCAGAAGATGCAGAGCACAAATACGGCAAATGTGGAGAATCATGTGGCGGAGAAATTGTACACGGAACTCCCGGAGACGTCATTCACGCGCTCCATCTCCAATCCTGAAGCTGTAATGCGGCGTCGACGACAGCAGAAGCTGGAGAAGAAGCTGCAGCAGTTCAGGTCGAAGGACGGCGGCCCGGACACGGGTGGAACGCTGAAGATCTACGGTGAGAGTCTGTGTCGCGATGTGCCGTACAAGACGCTGCTGCTGAGCATCAGGGATTGCGCGCAAGCCGTTGTTAGGGAGATGCTGGCCAAGTATGGCCTGGACAAGACGGATCCACTGCATTACTGCCTGGTGCAGGTCAACAGCGACGGCACGGAGTACATTCTGGACGACGACGAGTGTCCACTGTCGATCCTCATGAATCACCCAACGTCCAGAGGTATGAAATGGCCAAATATCTGTGGACAAGTCATGCTCTAACAGCAGTTTGCAGAGCTTAAGCTGAGTCATGGAAAATATGTACAGAAAGACGTCGAAAGGGTTGCAAAGAAGCGAAAACGAAACTTTAGTAATTTTGATCCTGCTTGTTGAAACTTCTTAAAGTTGACTAAAAGTTAATAAGAAGTTCTAATATGCAGTATTTCCACAAAAGTTTTAGTACAAAAGAGTCTTTCTGTTTATTGTTTTCCACGACAGTAGATCTAGTGTTAACAAGCACGTGCAGTGAAAAGCTAATTCTCCGTCCTGCTTTTGGGGTTCATGTCCTGGTGAATCCTCATAGTGTCTAAGCTTTGAACTTGACGAATTGCCACTGAAGCTTTCCACCCCTGAAAGCTCTTGCACTCTCAGTCTCTCATGCGCTCTTCGGGAGCACTTTCCCACACACATTTCCATTCCGGAGAAGCGTTGAGTCTCGTGGTGCGCTGTGGAAATGTCAGGTGGCCTGAGAAGTCCTCTGGCACACATTTTCTCGAGTGACACGAGAGAGAGAGAGAGAGGGAGTGAGAGAGAGCTGGTGAAACAGGGGCATTCTCTCGCATTGGAGGCACTTTAGTGTGGCGCTGAGGGCAGAAGTTGGGCAGTAGGAGTGACACATCTCTCAGTGGGAGCATCACCTAATCAAGTCATGCCGAACGATATCGAATTGTGTCTGTCTTGTGTCTACTCTAACGCAGTGAACACGCATTTAGTATAAGTTCTCTCTTATTTTACGTTCAAACTCACCTCTTGGCTTCCGTTTTATTTTTCCATAGTCGCTCTTCTTTTGCGTTTTGCAGCACTGGATAATTTTTAATCGCGATATAGAACGCAGTATCAAAAAAGAGTCTGTTTGATGAATTTATATCAGTTTTAAACTTGATAGATTTACATTGTGTGTGTGCGTGAATATTTCGTTTTTTTCCCACTCAAAAATAAAAACGCCTGTATCTCTTTTGTATAGTAATCTTTCTGACACATAGAAAAAAAACGCCAAAGGAGAACGGTTTAACTGCAAAATTCGCCCGACAATGAGTGCAAAATACATTCAGGATTGACGTAATTGTAGAGAGAAAGAGAGTATTATGGTTTGTTAGTTTGAAGCGAGTTTGACTGGAGTTGAGGAGAGAAGAAAAGGCGAAAATGCTTGATAAGTTGCCACAGTTAACAATTGTCGGTACGGTTTTTGTTTTTTTCAATTGTCTCTGAAAAGAAGTGATTTTTCTCGTTCGATTTGACAGTGGGCTTTTTCTCCAATGCTAATCCCTAAAATTGCAGATTGGCGACTCATCTCGACAGGCGCCGTAAAGAGCGTATAAATGTTAGAAAACAATTTTCCTGTTTAAACTTTCTCACCCACCCCGCAAATGCGGGGGTGAGAGAGTGAAGTTTCCGTAGCAGTTCGCCGTTCTTATGATACAAAAAGTTACCTATCCTGTAAACGCGACGGAGGCAAAGTAAAAGAGAAGAAATATGATGGATTGGGGGATTCGCCGTGAGTAGATATGAAGATACTGTGAATGTTTTAATAGAGAAAAAGGGCAGTGTAATTGAGAGAAGAATGGATTTTTCTTTCCCTTTTTGTCTGTCTTGAGAGCCTTGAAAGTCAATGTTGCTTCTTTTTTTATTATTGGTTTCTTGAGAAGGAGGAAAAGAAGAAGAAAGGATATTTATATGGTGAAGAAAGTGTTTTTCTTTTTAGGCAGTAATTGCCACCCTCCAAATTAAGCTCCTGTTAATCGTTGTTACTTTCTTTGTGGATGGAAAATGAGAAGCTCTTAAAATTTTATATGTGACTCCTAGCAGTGTTTTTTCCACCCCCGTTTTTTTTTCTACTCCATTTACATCGCGACAGTGTGGAATTGAGAATCGTGAATTTTTAAGGACCTTCAGCATTTTTTATTCATACTGACTGTTTTTCTGTATTTTGCTGCATTATAATGCTAAAGAAAGCATTAAAAAATTGAAGGAATCCTGCGACGCTTCGTGTGAAGTCGAATTGTATTGATTTTTTAACGTTTTTCTCATTTTCAATTGATCTTTAAATTATGTCTTTAACATTTGGAATTCTAATGAATTCAATTCAATCTGTCGATGCAAATGGAGCTTTTTGTCATGATGATCCTGCTTGAAATTGAAGTAATTTGCAACCCAATTAATTAGGAACCCCCCAAAATATTCGATGTTGTCGCCATATTATTGTCTCTGTGTCATGCAGAATCTTTGTAATTGTATTTTTGCTCTTTTTGTCTACTGTGTCTTTTTTTGCCTATCGCAGTTAAAGACGAAGGCGCAGACAAAAGCGTGGCTTTAAGGGAAAAGGACACCGTGAAGGAGAAAAGAAATGGAGCTTTAAAAGCTCAAGCAGTTACCACAAATTCCGTCGTTTTGGTGTCTTCTTCTTCGCTTGTGGTGCGGCGGAGCCTTTTATTTCACTTGACGCGGCGACGAATACAAAGTTTAGCACACACACAGAGTGGTGGAAAAATGCGGGGTGGGAAACATGAGTCCGAAGAATGTGTGTGGAAAAGTGGCAAATGTAGTTGGATTTTACAGAAGGGAAAATTGATTGCCGCTCAACTATCGGTGTGTAATCAGCACAAGGTGGAGAGGAAACAATGATGGAATATATTACATGGGAACGTTGTGATATTGGGTCTTGATATTCTCGCTGAGCGAGAGAAAATGTCAGCGAGAGAATTGAGCTTTAATATGTATAGCGCGAGCTTTAATATAGAGATGAAATATTGTCGATTCCGTGGCTCTGTGTTGAGTTTGCTCCTTATGTTTTTGGGTTCACGTTCATTAGGAGAGACAATAATCGATAGAGTAATGCTGGTATATTTCGTGACATAGTTCCTTTTTTCGGTGTGTGTTCTATTGAAGGGAAATGCGATGCAAAGAGAAGAGAAGAGAGACGAATTTGGTTATGGTGCCGAAGAGAGAGATTTGTGAGAGACGCGATAGAATGTTGGTATCGGGGAAAAAAAAATTTTCTACCCACAAGAGGCACTTTTCCAAAAGTGTTTGGATCGGAAAATGGCCTTTAAATCTCTCGCCCTCTCGCGTCGCGTTGGTGGAATTCTGTGAAGGGCGTTTATTGGACAGTTATTCTTGTAAAAAAATATACATAGTTTAAAGGGAGTTGACACCCTTGGGAAGAGCGTGTGTATCGATGAAAAGTGACTTTTGGTGTTACAAGTGCTGAAATACTTTCACTAACATTTCAAAAAGTCTCTCGCTATTGATACAAAATGTGACGTCAGAGCTGAATGATTAATGACAAATTCCAGTGAATTGGAATGATATTACTCAATTATATGTTCTATAAATCGAGAAGTAAATTTCCACCGATCAATTCTCTCCCAATGGAGACGATTGCAAATTAGATTAGTGAATCAATTTTCACAATTTCCCCTCTGTTGTTGTTATTTTTTTGGCTATCTGCGTGCTTTCCTGCCTGCTCTCTCTCTGTGGTTTTGCGACTGAAAGCTCTACTGTGTGTAGAAAATAGCGCACTAAATTTATTATGGTGACACTGACTTCCTGTAATGCAATTGCTGCACCTTCAGACATGCGAGATGTGCAGAGTTCTAAGGAGAGAAGCAGTTCCTAATATCGCTGCATTCACTTCTGTGTTCATATGTGTGTGTTTTTTAATAGGACATTTTAATGAGTTCCACCTCCACTGAATGTGCTTTACTTGTGACCTCACCCTTGATAGTGACATGAGAAAATGAACAAGTGAGAGAATGAGGGTTGAATTCATTACATTGTGCTACAGTAATAAATGTTAGAGTACACAACAGGGTGTGCCATTGCTTGGAAAAAGGAAGGAGAGCCTTAGAAAAAGCCGAATGTGGCACATCCTGAGTGTATATATTAGTGACTGTCATGCAGAATTCATTGCAATGCCTGATCTAATGACTCTTCTCTTTCCCTCTCGCAACGGCAAAGGATCCATAATGTTTCACGTGCGGCGACGTCCGGCGGATTCGCAGCCGCGGCGGCGCAAGAAGAAGCCACTCGGCGTGTCCAATGGCAGCAACAACATGTCAGCGGAGCGCGAGGGCCCCACTCTGGTGGAGGTGACGCACAGCGGCGACGGCGGGCGGCGGATCAAGCTGGGCAGCGAGCCGGTGGAAGTGGGCTCGGCCAACACCAACACTCTGCAGCTGTTTGGGCCGCTCATTCAGGCGCGCCATTGTCTCATCTCGCTCCACGAGGGCGTCTGCACCGTGACCCCACTCCACGCTGACGCCCTGACCTTTGTCAATGGCCATCACATCCAGCAGCCGACGATTTTGCATGTGAGTCCTTTTGTACACTCCATCAGCGCTCCGGGGTGGGAAATTATGAGCACAAGTGAGAGAAACTGTGTGCTTCACGACGAATTATTGGTTGTTTCTCACTTTCCTGCGAGTAGATTTGCACCAGAGGAATTTATTTACCAAAGAGGGATGAAATGTGTGAACAGAATCTTGCGTCTGTCAGCTTTGCAAGGTTTTATTTCGAAAATTTATCTGCAGAATTTATAGTCAGTAATATTTTACGTAAATTTTGAGCTGTTTTTTGTATTCAGACAACAAAGCATCAGAGCATATTTGATGGGTTCCTCGAAAAACTATCAAAAGTCGATGTTCGACAGTTTATTTGCATTTCGTTCAGAGATTCATAAAAATGAATATTTTTCCTGTGGTTTTTTTTTTGTTGTTTTGCAACCCTAAATCAATTTTAAATCAATTAGAAAATAATTTAAAGTTCTATTTGACAAAGCAAGTCACATAATCATAATTAGCAGAAAAAACTCTTAATTACAATTATAAATAAAATTAACAGAAAAAATGTGAAAAGATATTTTTTACGAACTGTTGAGAAAAAAAGCACAAAATTGACCTTTTGTACTAAATATTGTGAGTTTCAGTATCAACTCTCCATATTTTGGTTAATTTTTTAATAATTAACCAATGAAATCAACTGACAGTTGTAGAAAATAATTGAAATTGACCAATATTATCAGTTTAATGGGAGATAAGAGGGAGTTTAAGGGAAATTACAAAACGTATCATCACGAAGTCTAAGCCTTAAATGAGTAGTTTATTTTTTATTCGCCAAAAACTACTCCAATTCTATATAATTTTATTTCCACATTAAAGAGAATGTTGCGTTTTAGTGCTAAAAATGATGACGATGGAATTTTTTTTTAAATTCAACGACGTTTGATATAATCTCACAAATTGGATAAAGCATTGCAACAGGGGAAGAGAGTTTCTTTTTGGACAAGAAATGATCAAAATCTTGCGTTAAACTTTTATTAGACATTTGAGGGGAGGAAATTGAATTTTTGAAGTTTGGCGACACAGTTGCAGTTAAGGGTTAAATAATTCCTCATGAACTACTTTTACTCATAATTTCCGCTGTCAACTACTCTTTAATCCCTGTGACGCGTGCTGGGAAGGAGCGTCGGCGGAGGGTTGATGGTTTTAATCGGGACATAAAACTCCCATTCGCCCGCCGGGCGACTCTCACATCCCGGCGCTTTCGGCTCCACGGGGAGTGCCATTGATCTAGTCAGAGGGAAATGAAAGAATGGAGGCGAGAAAGTGAACAAGGGAAAAGTTCAAGGTGGTTCTCATTGAGGGGTGGAATGGATTTTATTTTCTTCTTTCATGCCCTCGCCGGATAGTTATACTATATGGCGCTGTGTGACAAAATTATCTCAACTGGTTTTTGGGGGTCAATCGCTAGGAGTGAATTCAATACTCTCTCTCTCTCTCCCTGAGTAATTCTGGGAACTTAATGGATTGGATAGTGCTTGATTTAATGTTGGGCAGCTCAATTTAATAATATGGGCGCGAGTGGGAGTGCAATTAATTTGGAATTATCTTTTGCCGTGAAGAAATAAATTCACTCTTGCTTGACTTGACAAGTATTTTTGGCAGAAGCGTGACAATATTATATAGTGCAATTTGTGGTGATGAAAAATCCTTCTTTTTTATGTTGTGATTGCATCCTTTGGAAAAGCATTCAATCACGTTTACTTCTGTTGGAGTTTCTCCAGCTGCTTCTAAAATGATTCTATTGTAAAAATGTGCTCATAGAAAAGAGTTTGACCCACATTTCGATTCGGTGCTGGGAAAAGTTTTGTGATAGAAAAGTTCTCAAAAACTCCAAATTTGTTGTGCAATGGACAAGCTATTTACAATTAGCCGCACATACAGAGTTTTTCAACTGCGATAACTGTGCAATTTTATCGTTTTTTTCCGCGATGTGTTTGGTCAAAACGTCCAGCTTCGCGGAAACTCGTAAATCGGATTATGTTTGACATTCGATTAGAATTTTTAGTGGTTGAAGAGCGCAAAGGCGATAAAAGTGTGATGTGAAATTTGATAGGGACGCGCAATTTTTTTTTTTGCACTGAATCGGCACGAAAAAGACAGTGCGTGTGTGTCTTCTTGAGATGCCGAGAGCATCTCGCATTGAGTGTGAAGGGAAAAATGCTGGCATTAAATGTGTGACATAATATTTGTAGGCAATATACAATTATGAGGCGTTTTCTCTTTCTCGCCTCCTCTCAGCCTCCTCGCGTGAAAGTCATAAATACGTGACTGGGTAGTAGAATAATAATAATGATAATATGGGGCGTTTTTTTTTCTTCTTCTCCTTCCTTGAACCGCTCTTTCTCAGGGGATCACATTACATAATGCGATAAGAATGATTAGTTTCAATTTAGAGAACATTTTTCTCATTTAAATTGTGCAAAATGATGAGAATTTCCTCTCGTTCAATGACTGTGGAAATGACATATTTGCTAAAATGCTTTCCGCGTTTTCCTGTTGGGTTTTTTTTTGTGCTCTTTTTCTGGACCCTTAATTGTTATAATTTCTCTCATTGAATTAACACACACCCACAGTTTAAGTTATTATGGGAAAGTCCACAATTTCCCTGAATTTTATTATTGTGTGACAACATCAATTAGAATTATAGTCTAAATATATGCGGTGTTTTTTCGAATTGAATCCCACGCTGACATGGGAAAATCAATGTGCCTCTAGAGTGTCCAATGATCGACACAGTTTCGCCAATTGTGTAGAGACTGAAATAATTGTGTTTTGTGCTGCAAATTAATTACAGAATGGATCTGTGGTGATGTTCGGTCGAGTGTCGTCGTATCGCTTTGTGGACTCACCGTCCGATGGCCGGTACAACTTGGCCCTGTCTCAGTCCCAATTGGACTCAGCGTGCCTCTATGACAGGTGAGAACTAACGTGTTGCCCAAGGGGAGGACCTATTTATGGTCCTAATTGTGTTAAAGTTTCACTTGTGCATCTGTTGCTTGGGCTTTTGCAGTAATGACTGTGTGTGTATATGTGTTGTGTATGCAATGTAATTTCACCCTGGAATTGTCTGGCGAAAGTTCCTCCAAGCGTTCATGATAATTGCATGCGAGAAGGGCGCTGGAATTTTATCAAAATTTACCTCAAGCACTCCATTTTGTACATATATGGAAAGTTTGTGCTGTTTGTGTGTCGTTTTGCTTGTATCCATCGTTCTATGTTTAACTCAATTTAACAATTTTGTGTTCTTTTTTTTCCGTTTCTTTTTGTTGTCACACCCCATCAATGTGTTCCTCATTTTGCAATTACACTTGTAAAGTCGCTCGCCAACATCACCGTCATGGCATGAGGATGAGCGTCCTCTGAGTCCTGTCCAGTCCATTGCACAAGCCCAGACGCTGAACAAGCTCAGTAGCTATTTAGATGAGCCCACGTCGGCCAATCAATCGATTGGCGACACCCCGCATCATCACCATCTCAGCGGCAACAGCGCGGCCGGAGTGGGTGGACAGACGCCCACCGCCGCGGGCAATGCCAGCGGCGACAATCACGCGGAACCGTATCTCGATGATAACAAGAACCTCGCTCCGGCGGACGCGGACAAAGGCGCCCCCGCGACGGCTCAGGCGCGCGGAAAGGAGCAGTTTGAGACGAATTTCGACGTTGATGGCACCATTGAGACGGAAACTAAATCAATTTCTAGCAATAAGTCGGCGGGATCGAATCAGGAAATCAGGTATTTTTCCCAACCACTCTTAATATGATTCCTCTCCAAATACACACACACAATTACAAGAGATCAAGTAGAACAGAGAGAAAAAGAGAGACAAAACATTGAAAAAAAAATTCAATCATGTTCCAATAGCAGGTAATTGAGTCAAATCATGTGGCTGTTTTCTCACACCTCTCATCATCACCACTCTTTTTTTTTTGTTGCCCTTCGGCTTCGTCAATCACCTGGCACACTCACCCTCCCCGAAATACAATGGGAGAGAAGAATGTACTTGATGTTTGATGGCTTCCTCATCTCTCCCACCCTTTAGGCCATCACAATCAATTTGTTTACCTCCTGCACATGAGATTTGTAACACTCTGTGCGAGATGAAGACACAGTGTATAGAAGAATAGAACAAACAAAACCATTCAGGAAGTCTGAATGGCACTTAGTGTTCGTTGTAATCACATTGTGTTCTTTTAACCAACTGGAGAAAATATGTGGAAATTGTTGCAACTGATAATTAGAATGTGTTGTCAGTAATGTTGTTTCTCATCTGTCACAGTGTTTAGAATGTGTTGAAGAAGCGACATTTTCCGAAACACGTCGAAAATGTGGTCAAATAGGCGGAGTTTAAGGGTGGGCGGAGTTTAAAGGTTTAAGTTATTTGCCACCATCTCTGTAAATTCAGAATAATTTTAAAAAAAACTACATTTTCGTTTGGCTTAAAGAATAGTCAAAATTTCCCTAAAGTATTAAAATTGAGTTTGTGGGCGTGGTTTTCAAATGGGCGGGACTTATTGGATATTTATGATATCGTTTGTAAAACTCAAAGTTTCATAATTTTCCGTGAGTTTTTGAAATCGAAGTCCCACAACGTACACATTATTGTAAAGCAATTCCGCATTAACTCCATTGTTATTGATTTTGAAAGCCACAAAATCACCATAAATTTCATCCCTTAATGTTATGTTCGTCAATGTTTTATTGGGCTTTTATCGTTCTATTTCTCTCCATGTTATGATTGTGCATTATATTCTTAATCAATGTTTTTGTATCACGCTTTTTTCCAATTCAATAGCAAATTCAACAATGCGATAAATTGCGTGAAAAAGTAAAGAATACAATTATGAATTTCATTAAATTGATAAGTTATCGATTTTTGGATGGACAAAAAGAAACTCTTGTGTGACTTTTTTGCTTTTTCTTCTTCTTTCGCAGGGGCAAAATTCAAGCTGCGAATGAAGCGGGACAAGAACCAATATTGCCGGCTGTCTTGGAATTTCCAGAGACCCATCAGGAGGCCTTTTTGCGTCAAGTGATACCAGATTTGGATGTCAATGCTCCGTACTTTAAGCTAGCTCCGGTGTACACGCTGTATCTGTGCGCCAGGTGAGATGCAAGAGCGCTCATGTTTGGGGTCTGAGTCCTGAGAGTTTCTGTGTGTGTTTTAGGTACCGAGCTTCGACTCATTATCGCCCGGATCTGCAGCCCACTGAGAGGGCGCACAAATTGACGGCCTTCCTCCACCACGTCGCCAATATGATCTACACGTGCGTCCAGGAGCAGTACACCGATCCGAAGGTGGTGTCATTCTGGATGGCCAACAGTTCGGAGTTTCTGCACTTCCTGAAGTCCGATCGCCACATTTCAGCCTTCAGTTTGCAGGCGCAGGAAGTGTTGGCGGAAACAGTGCAGTCCGCTTTTCGCCATCTCGTGAATTCCTTCCAGGCCGAATTGTCTCAGACCCTCAATCAGTTCCTGTCGGAGAACATTGATCACGACAGTGCCGCCGGACTTGTGCTCACGGTTCTCGGGGCTGATATGGCTCTGTTGCGACGCTGTCGAGTGAATGCCGCCCTCACGATTCAGCTCTTCTCGCAGCTCTTTCACTACATCAACGTGGTGTGCTTCAATAAGATCGTCACGACGCCTCAGATGTGCAACGCCACGTGGGGAAAGGTCGTGAGTGATCGGCTGCAGTTGCTGGAATTGTGGGCTGAGCGTCTGGGACTTGAATTGGCGGCGGATTGTCACCTGGCCAAGATCAATCAGTGTGCGCAATTTCTGCAGGCGCCCAAAACGACAGTGACTGAGGTGCAACAGCTCGCGCACTCTTGCTTCCGTCTCAACTCCCTGCAAATGGCGGCGTTGCTGAGTCAGGAACCGATTCCACGGAGTCTCGTTGACACGGCCCTGAGGATGGCGGAGTCTGTGGCGGATGAATTGACGCTGTCTGATGGACGAGAGGTGCGCCTGGAGGAGTCGACGGACACTCAGCTCGCGCTGCTGCTGCCCGAGGATGGCTTCAGCTGTGACGTGGTGAGAGGCATTCCGGCGGGACTTGTGGACTTCCTGACGCCACTGCAGAATGCCGGGATGTGCCGCCTGGCGGCCCAGCCGACCAGTATTGGTCTGTGGACGGTGTACATGCATCAGTACAACCAGAGATCGCCCAGTGCCATGTCCACGAAGATGCCCCAGCCGGACATTCAAGTGATAAAGCTGCACAAGAACAACGGCGGCATGGGACTGTCCATTGTGGCGGCCAAGGGCGCCGGCCAGGAGAGGCTGGGCATCTACATCAAGTCCGTGGTGCCAGGAGGTGCAGCTGATGCCGACGGCAGACTCCAGGCGGGAGATCAGCTGCTGAGAGTCGACGGACAGAGCCTTATCGGCATCACACAAGAACGGTGAGTTGGACGAATTACACGCCGTGCACTATAAATGTGTCGTGTTTATATTGAAATAATTAATTACCAACAAGCCTTTCGTGTCAGCGACCAATTAATTCGCATATAATAATAGACAGTGAAAGGGACAAAAAGGCATTGTTAATGAAATGCGATAGGAAGATAATTGGGCGATGGTTATTTTTTTTCCTCCTTTTTATATCCCACATTTAATGTGTATATTTTAATTGTTTGCCAAAAATTACTATTCATTATCATGTTTTCACAGTCAGAAGGGGGGATTTGTAATTAAATTCACAGGATATTTTATCAATTATCTCCATTTATTTTCATGTTAATTATAGATTTATATGGAAATTACTTAATCGGGGTGTTCTTTTTGTTCTGTACATTCAGAGCTGCCGATTATCTTGTGCGAACTGGTCCTGTGGTCACTTTAGAGGTGGCCAAGCAAGGAGCCATTTATCATGGATTGGCAACTCTGCTCCAGCAACCGAGTCCCGTGATTCAAAGAGGTGAGTTTTGTCTTAGAGAATTCTTTATTCAGCACTTTGTTGTGGGATTTTCTTGACGATTGTCAGTGTTTGAGGAAGTGTGAGAATGCGTCTTACTAACTCTCTGCCTCGTTTCTCATGCTGCTCTCGTTGGTAAATTACTAAAAAAAAATTAAAAATTATGCTAATTGTGTGTTCGCGAAGAAGTAGAAATGTCACAGCATCGCTTGCGAATGCAGCAATTGCATCAGCAGCAGATGCACTTCTTCGCAACGAACCGGAGTTACTACGATTCGGGATCTGAGGAGAGTCTCAATAGATACTTGTTCAATACCGAATGCATGCCGGTGGCGCAGGATCGGTGTGGATCGCCGTCGTATTCGATGAGATTTGGGGACCACTATGACATGTACGGGAGGAGGAGGAGCTCCTCGTCGTCGCACGAGGACATCTTGCTGAATCCGAACTTTCAGCAGAAGGTCCACATCGATCCGCGATATCGCGACACGCGACCAATAGCGAGCAACAGCTCGCTGAACAGGGACTTCGAGGCGCCGCCGATGATTTATGTGGAGGAGTACAGTGATGATGTGATTAGGAATGACAATGACAGTTTGTCGGGCAACTCGGACAATCGCTCGGCGGAGTCAATTCAGAATCAGCCACTGAATGAGGACAGTCTGGCGTCGTGTGTTGATTCTGACGATATTCCCTACATTGATGATGATCTCAGTCCCCCATCCGTCCACACTTACCTACCGCCGTCCAGTGGCTCGCAGCCGGACGTCCGTCAGGCGGGGCCGAGCAAGAGTCCGGGCATCATTGTGAAGAACAGGCGCGACAGCGGCGCCAGCTGTCGCAAGACCGTGAGCTTTGACATAATCAATGACGACGAGGAGATGATGCCCCTCCTGTCCACAAGCAATAACCCAGTGTCCACCGATGGCAATAATGTGTGTGTCAATGTGAGGAAGTCGAGCACGTGTGATTACCTGCGGAATGGCGAGGAGAAGGTGCCGCCGCGCGGCGGGCACAGCGTCGATGGCGTGCCCGTTGTGGTGGCCGAGGAGGAGCCACTCGGAAAGCGCATGAGGAAGAAGTGTTCAGGGACCAAGGAGTCAATTTTGAAATTTTGCAAGCTGAAGAAATGGCAGAACTGTGATGGCATCGCCGCGGCATCAACATCCACGGGTGATAATGCTGCAGCTGATGTACCATTAAGAGACGATAATTTTAGTATTTATTTTGACAAGGATGGGGATCAGCCGCCAGCAGTGCCGACACCATCTAAGGGACCACCACGCGTCGATCTCAGTGAAATGGCCCTCGATCTCTCTGGCATTCACTCTGACTCGACCACGAGCTCGCCCGATGTGGCCGGCCGGGCGCCCGCGCGGCGCCCCAGGCGATCGCCACCGCCGGACGTGGACTACGATCGCGTGATCGAGCGGAAGAATGTTGGTCATCGTGTGGTGTGGTCCACAACGCCGCCGTATCGCGACGATGTGATCTTGGGCAATGGGAAAGTGCGCGCCCTCACCAAGTACTTTGATTTCCTGCACGATACCTCTGACCATCCAAGCAATAAGCACCCCCAGCATAGTCAATCCTACCCCAATCTGCAACATATCGGGACCATCAAGGGTTCCCAGCAGCGCGACAATGACCGCAAGTTGTCCGAGGCTGAGCGAGTTGATGTGATGCTGCAGCTCCGCGAGTGGAGCAAGTTTGGCAGTCGCACGCCAGAAGTTGCATGTCCTGATCGCTGTCCAGGCAAGTGCTCAGCGTCGGTGATCAATCTAAGGGCTGAGGAGTACGGCAAGTGTGCTCATATGGACGACATATTCAATCGCATCGACAACATTCCGCCGCCCAGTCGATTCAAGAGCGTCCCGAACATTGCCACTCTCCATCCGTGCCCTGTGCGGCGTCACAAGAAGTTCCCCGAGGCCTACATTGTGACCAAGAGACGCGCCACGCGGTGTTGCTCAGTGGATGATCTGGCCAATAGGCCCATCCACATCCAGACGTGCCCGGAAGCGCCGCACCCACCGTCAATTCTCACTCTGCGACAGATCAAGAGTCGCCAGGCGAGCAAAGCGCTCAAGCAATGCGGCGACAGGCGTGGCAAAGCCGCGAGATTTGACTCAAGATGACCCAGTGTGGCCTCTGTCCTCATGCTGTAACGTGAACTCATTTTCTAACTATTGGTTTACTAGCTATTCTTGGTTCTCTGTTTTTTGTCACGCACGAAAAGATCCAGTCTTGCATGCCGAATTCTTTCATTTCTGTATCAATATCTGCTGGAAATGTTGCAGCACAAATCTTTATTTTATCAATTTTATTCCCTAACATTTCAGTGTTTGATGTTTTGTAGACTGAATGGCAATATCACAATGTGATTCTAATGCTTTGACCTCTGTTTGCATCATTTGAAGGCACGCGAAGAATGTCCGAAAGAGATGTATCTCGTGTTGGAGCAGAGACCACTAAACCACCACTTCCATCGCCCGGTGGTCAGCAACTCTTGAACAGCAAATCAGTTCCGGCTCTTCATCACGTTGGGAATATCGGTAAGGCCACGCCCATTCGCAAGCCCCGCCCTTTTGACAGCCACACGCTCTGAAATTCATCCTAAATTTGACTTTGGAGTTCTAGTGATATGCTTGGAAATCACGTTTGCAAGTGAAAACCTCTCAAACTGAATGGGAAAGAATGGTTTGAGTGGTGAAATCAATACTGTGCCCTTTCCACAATTATATCCTTATGTAAAATTCATTGAGCGTTTAGCTGTTGAAAACTTTGATGGGTTGAATTGAAAGGTTAATCCTTTTCTCTTTTGGCCAATTTTGCAGGAATGGCTGGCAATAAATCGAGGAGTATTCACAATTTGGCCGCTGGCCAGGTGAATGATCAGGGCTTCTATCAGAACCTGAGCATTTATCGTGGCCAGAACATCAGTCAGCCGAACTTGGGTGACAGACCGCCAATGCCGCTCCTCCAGCCAGCCTCGTCGTCGGCGTCGCAAATGGTGTCGCCGCCGTTGAGCAACAGTGTGAGCAATCAGCAACTCCTCAGCCGTCCAGCTTCGGCGTACTTCAACAGCAATATGAGCAGCAACACGCTGCCTTCCCCCCAGACCGCCGCCATGTCTTACTCAATGCAGCAACAGCAGCAGCAGCCGCGTCCCAAGAACAGCTTCCTGCGCGAGTCACAGGGACAGCAGAGCCTGCGGATGAACCAGATGCTGGCGCCGTCGATGCCCAACATCGCGCACTCCAGTGGCTATGCCAGCAACATCTCCGCCAGCCAGAGCATGCAGAACGTCAACATGATCAGCTATCCCACGTATCCGGCCGGCCAGCAGCCGGTGGTAGCGGCCAAGCCGCCCACAGGGCACCAGCACGTCTACTCTCCGCCCGACCAGGCCGCGCAGATGCGCATGCAGGCCAAGATGAGTGAAATGGGTGAAATGCTGCGACGGAGGAACCAGCGCGAAATGATGGCGCCGATGGGGATGCTGGACATGAGCAGTTCGCCGCTGGCACCCATTCAGCAGGGCAGCCCAATGGCCGGAAAGCCTCCCATGATGTCGCCCACCGGCGGAGCGGCCGCCATGTACGGCCAGCAGCCCTATCCGCCGCCGCAGCAGCAAATGAGTCCGCTCAAGCAACTGCCGCCGACTGCGCCCAAGCCTCAGGTATGCAGACACACTCTTGCATGGGATACGCGAGTCAGTATTGACACACACTCTTTGTATTTGCAGCATCATCGTCCATTGCCGCCGCCTGACGAGCAATTGTCGCCTCCGTTGCCGCCCTCGTCGACGCATCCGCTGTACAAGCCGCAATATGTGGCCGGAAATGCCGATCCTCCGAAGGGATACTATCCGTTGAGCAGCGCCAGGGGGCCCAACAAGGCCTTCCCGTCGTCCTCCATGAATCCCTGGGAGCGCGAGGAGCGCGAGAAGGAGGAGGAGATGCGGCGTGAGTACGTGAGACAGCGTCGCGAGCAGCAGATCAACGAGCTGTCGGGGCTGCCGCATCGCACGCCGCAGCAGGAGGAGGAGCTGAAGACGATGGTGCTGGAGAGGGACTTCGAGCGACGAGCCCAGGAGCCTGTGGAGGCGGAAGAGGAGCCCGATGCGTCGGCCAAGGCGCTCGGGGAGAGCCATGTGCCCGTGGAGGCGACAGTGATGCAGCCCAAGAGCATTCTGAAGCACAACAGCGCCACAAGAATGGAAGCTCCGGTGAGTGAGGGACGTGGAAGTTTGCTGGGAACGGGAAGTGTGCCCAATTCGCCGTCGAAACAGACGAAATCCGCCAGTTTTGCGGATCAGCAGCAGATTCACGATAACAACTCGACGGCTCTGCTGCTGTCCAAGGAGATGTCACATCTGCACGTGGCGGATGTGTCGCCGGGCGCGGGATATGATCAGGAACATCAGGGTGATTCGCCACGGGAGAGCTTCGAAGTGACATCCAATGGAGGACCACCGCCGCCTCCAGAGCGCAACAGTTCCTACATTGTGATGTCGCAGCAGCAGCAGAAGCTGCGCAACAGCCAGAATCTGCCACAGAAGCCGCCGCAGCATCTGGAGTTAAACAAGAAGCCCGTTCCGATGGTGAACAACAACTTCTCACCGCTGTCCAGCTTCAACAGGGACAACAAGCGGGTGTCTTTCCACGATCAGGAGAACAATGTTGTGGCCGGAGCGCCGGCCATGGTGCCAGAACAGGCGGATTTGGAGATTATCCACGAGGATCCGAATGTGAGTCTCCGCTTAAAAGCGACTCTAACTGATTTTTCATTTGAATTCTCGTCTTCTCTCATTTTTCGACCAGAAATTCATCCAAGACACAACAGCACTGCTGCAAACGCCAACGACGCCGGAGAATGAGTCCTGGAACTCGCACAATCAGCAAACACCCGGCGTGATTGGCGCTCAGGAGGTTTATCTGTAAGAGTCCTCTTATTATCCCTCACAATCCTCTTAACACTGTCCACTGACTCTCTCTCTCTTGGGCTTTCGCTTGCAGGGATCCGCGCGCTCGACGCCTGGCCGAACAGCAGAAGAATCAGAAGAGCAACGACACTCTGCCAGAGAAGCTGACGTTCAAGGAGAAGATGAAGATGTTTGCTCTGGAATCCGGTGAGAATCAGACGCCAAAGGACAAGTTGAAGATCTCGAGGGCGCAGAGGGACATCGACGCCGTTCACTGAGACATAATGTGTGACGACAGACGTGCGCGGGATTTGTGAGTGAAGACAAAATGCTATCGTTTATTTTTTATATAAATTTACTACACCTTCGAAAGAGACCACAATTCATTATGATGACGCATTCAACAATGAGAACAACTATGTAACAATTAGGCAAATATACATATAGAGCTCCTATATATACATTAACTAAGTGTATTTCCAATTTAGAGAAGTGTATTTGTAATATTGTAATTATATTCGAGAACTTATGATTGACATCTGTAGCAATTATATTGATTTTCTTTTTTACAACTTTCGATGATTGATCTTGCTTATTTTTTGGGGGGTGAAGAAGAAGAGAAATTGACGAAATTTACTGAAGGTTAGAATAGAGAATATTTAGGGAATGTATAATGAAATAGATTTGTGAGAAATATAGCAAACATGTTTGATATAAACTTAGTAAAAAGATTGGACCAAATGAAATTGATGCTTTGTAATTTGAGAGAATAAAAAAATGGAGACCACATATTTTATAAATTCACTAAATTGCTATATATATATATATATTTTGAATATAACAAAATATTGCATACTCTCTTAGATGTTGTCATTATTTTTTTTACAATTTATCCAATATGATTATGATGAATTTTTGAGTATTGTGTAAAATTTACTTTAGTAGGACTTTCCATTTAGCTGATAAAACAGATAATTTTACGCTATAATTATAACTTTTCGATTTTGGTATTACATATTTTGTATCCTTTTCGCCTTAAGGTGTTATTTTTTTTTACATGTTTTCCTCTTGTTTGATAAAGAGTTTCAAATACATTTCAAGTATAACTTTATACATAAAATACATATTATACACACATTCTATGATAGATAAATATTTACTCTTATGAAAGGCGATATAAAATGATAGAGGAAGAGAAGTTTTTTTTTTGAGATGAAACTATAAATTTTGTGCGACGGAGAGTAATTTAGCGTAGGCGAGAGAAAATAAGAGAGAGTTATTGAGAAATATTATTGAACAAAAATAAAAATTTTAGTGGTAAATCAGAGTTTTTCCATTGTTGCTCGAATTTCCAGTGAAGCTAGAAATCTGAATTATTCCACCAATCTTCCCTCATTAATAATGTATTTTCCATGCCAAGTTTAAGGACATTCGCCCTAAGTCTTAGTCCCTTTATGACATTAAAAAAGAACTAAAGCAATTCTTGCCATTAAAATATGTTTTCGGTTCTTAATGGGGTTTAAAACCGATTAAATGAATCTGAGATGTCTTCAGGATAATTGTTTTGCTGATTTTTATTTATTATTTGGTCTTTTTGAGTGTTTAATATCAAAATTTTATTAATTAAAAGACAGTTTGAAACGTAATTTATCGCGTCAAACATTCTATTTCGCGGAAAAGAGTCGCGAACATGATGAAAAAACTTTTTCGGTGAATTTATCAGATGTTTAAGACGAATTCCATGATATTTACTTCTAAAATTCATTAAGAATTGTTTCCTAAGATCTCTTCAATCTCTAATAAAACCGTGAAGGGCAAATTTTATGACTTTCACCATCAGCACAGTTTAGCTAACTTTGTCGCTACTTTTGCTAAACATTTCTGTCTGTGTATGCAAAATCCATTCTTTGCAATGACACATCATTGTTTGAGGCTTCAGGGGAAACTGCAAAAAACCCCTTTTAAAGTAGTTAAACTTACCCGAGATGAATGATGGCGAAAAAATAGGCATATGTTCACTTTAAAAATTTAATGAATTTTCCAGTCAAGCGAGCCCATTAAAAGTCCCATGGCGACTTACCCTCTGAGAAATTGTGTATATCTAGTAGATATTCCAGCCAGAGTGGAAAATAAATTATTAGATAAGGGTCAATGAAAGGGTTTCCTTTTCTTTCTGCCAACAACAATGCCTCCGAACATTTTTTCCTCACTCCATCGTTCATGTGTCCTCAATGAAACTTGTTCTGCGGAGAATGCCTCACAATCCTCCTTGACATTGTGTGTCGTCCTTTTTTGAAGGAGAGAAGAAAAAAGGGGTCGACAAACACTGGGGAGTAAGAGAGAGAGAGAGAGATGAGAAAAAGGGGCTTCAGTGTTACAATTTAAATTTGCAATTAATTGAAAGTTTTCCAACTGAGACTCTGTGTGTCTTGATGGACAGAATGAGTGTGCGAAGAGGGGCTTTTTTGCCAGGGAGATGAGCGTCAAATTGAGGGGAGAGAATCTCCTTCTGCAGGGATGTATTTTCCAGTTGACATGGAGAGAGGGACGAAAATGTGAGGTATTTGATGAATTTGAGAGCATTTTAATTACAAGTAAAACGTGTCAAGCTGTCATTTTCCCAAGAATATCTCTCCCCAGGTACGCTGAGAGCGCCTGAATATGATGAGGGCTCACACACTCCCCGAGAGCTGCTGTGCCGAAAACACGGCACAGAATTGCAGTTGTAGTTTGCAATTGGATTAACTCTCTTTCAACTCTTGCTGCACAAAGTGTTCCCATTCAACTGATTATGAAGTGTATAAATCTCGTTGGCGTCGTCGTTGTGCAAATTAACAACTTCCCAGCCCTCTCTGTGTCATCTCTGCAAAGTCCCCCACTTCCCGCCTGGAAACTTCCACATATGCACGCCAAACTCACTCACGGGGTTGACGAACCCGCCACCGCCCGGCCGCGCGTCTCAAGGGGCCGATAATGGGGCTAAAATCTGAACACCACTTCCCAACACTTTTTGAACTCTTCTAGAATTCAAACACATCCTTGGTCGTCTTACGAGAATTTCAGGAAAAAACGGACCAAACTTTATACTAAAATTGTTATTTTAGTAGATAAATTTTCTTTTCAGTTTGACAATAAAATTGGCAACTTTTAATAAGAAATTAAACAAGTTTTTGAATAATATTTTTGTGAAAAACTGTTTTTAAACATATTTCTGGAAATTTTTCCAATCATAATCGATAAAACAACATTAAACAATTGCTTAAAACATTTTAAATATATAAAAAAATATATTTTCAACTGTTGCAATTTACTTTTAAATCCAAAATTGAAGATTTTACCTGAATATTTGCTAAAAAAAACGCTTCAAAATTGTTATTATTCAAATTTGAACGACATTTTTGCGGTTATGTTTCACTTTTGTACAATTAGAAATATTTTTCACGTTCTTTATTGCATGAAAATGCCTAAATCTGCTAATAAATAAGATTCTTTCCACTTTTTGACTGTGAGAATTGATATTTTTGGAGGTTATTTGCTAAATAAATAGAAATTGAATTGATCTGCTAGACGAATTGAATGAAATTCAAGTTTTTATCCTCTTCTTCTGAGCTGTACACAATTTCTAATTGCAATATCTCCCCCTTGGCACTTCTTACTCTCGCATCGCATCGATGGAAATTCAATTAATACACCTTCGCCGCAAGATTCAACCCGGCGACTTATCAGCTAATCATAGATTGACGGAACTGTACAAAGTCTCACCCTGAAAACTCTGACGAAAGCAAAGGCTTAAGACATCATTAGCATAATCAGTTTTCCAGTACATCTCTCTATGAATTGCACATTACACGATTTACATAAATTGCAGCCCCCGGCCAACACCCCTCTCGGCACTGCCATCGAGTATTTTCCGTTTCCGTTTAGTGCACAAATCCCCGATCGGGAAAACCTCAGCCCCTCGTTTGGCTTATGGAATTTCGACGGTCCCTCCAACCCTTCGGCAGCGCCGCACTATCGCATGGAAATCAGCACAGCGATACTCTATCCGGGCGGAGAGAACGTTTCAATTGAAGAAAACACAATGATGGAATTTCTTATTCAAGGATGCGTGCAGAGGATTTTTTTCTCTGCCGCCTCGGCTTTCCATTTGAAGGAGCAATTGAGGGCCTTTTGTTGTGTTATTTAAAATTAATCCACACAAGCAGAAGCGATGTTTCCGATGGAAGGAATTCTTTTCATCCCTTTGTTTCTCCCTCTCGAGCATTTTCGCGCTCCTGCATCGGGACAAGGGTTGAGGCTTTCTCTTAGTCAATGGAGGGTTGCTTGCAAACTTTTCGGACGCGCCGCTTTGAATTCCCATGGGCAATTTTAATGAAGAGAAGCTGTACGTTGACAGTTTCTTCTTTTTAATCTCTCAATCAGATATTATGCACGATTTTCAGTGTTTGCTGAGTGACGCTGATGCTCCGCCTACTCAGAAGCTCCGCCCACTAGTGCTTGTCTTGATAGTTTCTTCAGTTTATCGCCGATTGCAGTAATCACATTTAGACTAAATTCTCTTCCTTCTTGTCCACAGTTTGTTGAAAAGTAGATTTCCTTGCGAGGAAATTGTTCGTAAATATTCATTGTAGTCATGATAAAACCCACTAATTTGTTATACATTGAAGATTGCATCCGATGACTTCTCGATCGACCCTCTTGTAAACGGCAATTTCTTTGTTCGTGATTTGTTTCCCAATGAATTTCTCTCCGTTGGTGGATGTTCTTTGGCTCCCTGCCCCACCGTCATTATCATTATCGCCATAATTTCGCTTTATTGAGGCGTCGTGTTCCGCTAAGGGTTGCACGAGAATGTCATACTGTTGGCGTGGCGAAAATGCCAGTGCGACTCTCACTCTTGTTACATGGGCGCAAATTCAAATTCGCCCATTCGAGCAAACGTCACATAAAAGCAAATTTTCGTAATGACAGAATGTGATTAAGTCGTATGCGAATTTTGGGGAATTTCATGGGGTGTTCGGGGTGGATTGGCGATGGGTGGATAAAAACAATGCCTGTGATTTAACACACACGACGGCAGCATACGAAATTGATTCCATGCGGACGCTCGTCTTATGCTAATTCCTCGGCAAATAGTTTTGCACAGAGCAGGAAATTCTCGACGAGCATGCGAATCTCCTGGAATTTGAATTTATATGTATCGCAGAGCTTTATGTACAGCTTCTTTTGGCATGTCTCTTTTGCAGAGGAAAGTTTATTGAATAATTTGATATGATTGGCGTCATTGGACAGAGAGAGAGAGAGAGAGAATGGCAAATAATCCAATCATACTTGAAATAAACTCACTTTTCAGAAATTCAATCACTGCAATTGAATGCCTGACCGACCCTCGGGAAAAGACGGGGAGAGCCAGAGGGGCTGAGAAAATCGTGATCCAATCGAGCGGAGGGAAATTTGTTCGAGGCGTGTGTTTTGTGCCATAAGCGTAAAAATTTATTTCACCAGCAAGAATCGGGGGTCGGAGCAACCCTTTTTCCAACGCGGGGCAGGAGTTTCCCGCCGCCTGGGGCCTTGGAGACGCACAAATGGCACCGGGGAGCCCCATTTTGGCATTTTGCACAGTGTTGCGGGTGCAATTTCGACCAGAAGCCCGTCCGGAGCAATTTGGCATCCTCCGACACGGGCCCCTAATCCCACCGCACGTCCTCGCAGCATACATTACAGCCCGCTTTTGATGCTCTGTCCCTGTGTTCATCAACGACCGGCCCCCGCCCCCGGACAGGGATTCAATTGGCAGTGGAACAAACCTCGACGATTTCCATCGCTTCCGGTTCGATTTTGGCGATGCGAGGGATTTTCCCAGAAGCGCAGAGATTTGCTGGAGTGGCTCTCAGTCTCCGGACCGGATGAGGCGGCGAGGGTGGCGAGCAATCGTCCGAACAGTCCTTTGATATGGTTTCTCTGTCCCCGCGCACCCCCAGGAGATTTCGTGTGTGTGTGTTTGTGTGTGTGGCGAGAGGAAATGTTCTTGGGACATAAAGTTTTGATTGAAATTTTCCCCTTTTGCCGGCAAAAAGACCAGAAACATTTGAGATTGTCATGCTCATGAGTTGTAAGTTGAGGTTCTCATGAAAAATTTTGTGAGTCGTCGAGAGAAGAGTCATATATACCTAACTAAGGGGGAAATAATAGGGTAAACTGTGTACACCACCAAGAATCACAGACATTTTCAGAACTTTGGCAGTGCTTAAAACATGCGTTTTCCTCATTTTCTTCCCCTTTTTCGGAACTTTGTTGATTTTCTAATCGCCTAAAGTATCAT